TTCAATATAAAGGCTTGGAGTTTATCATTCTTAATAGCTGAGTAATACGCCATTGTGTAAAAATACCACATCTTTTTCAACCATTCCTCAGGTGATGGGCATTTTGGTTGTTTCCAAGATTTGGCTATCACAAATTGTGCTGCAATAAACGTAGGCACACATATATCACTACGATATGATGATTTCAGATCCTCTTATTATTTTTAACAATCCAAAGAGATTTTTATTTTACTTGGTGTGCCTTGGGGTCCAGACATTACATTAGGAAAAAGCCTTAAGGTGGCTCCTGTGGTCAGCTGGGTTGGAAACCACTGGCTAGAGGCTCCCATGGTCCACAGCTACCATCGGAAACACATTATTTTATATCCAAACCATATGTCTTTTTTTTTCCCCATAATGGGGACTGAGCTCAGTACCGTTGCCTTGAAGCATATCCCCAACCTCTTTTATTTCGAGACTGGAACTTTGTAAATCCCTTGGTTGCCCAAGGTGAGTTTCATCTTGCATCACTCTACCTTAGCCTCCCAGAGTACTGGGATGATAGTCACCACATACTATCTTTTTGTTTGTTTTCTGGAACCAGGGAGTGAACTCAGGCCTTTGTGCTTGCCAGGCAAGCATTTATTCTACTGAGCCATCTCCCTGGCCCCTTATCTCTTTTACAAAGTCCAAACCTTGTTGACCTCTTTTAACCTGGATGGAAGCAGGACCCCTTTTCTAACAGTTTCTTGGTTACTAGTGCAGGTGTTAACACCCAAAGTGTTGGCTTCTAGAGAACAAGGACTGAGATTTATTCTCTGTCACATTTGTAAAACTTAAATAGTATTAGTACAGATACAGAGATCAAACTGAACTATGGTCTTTTTGAAAAAAAAAACATTTATTTTAAATGCCAATTTAAATCACTGTGATTTGGCCATCGAGATAGCTCAGTGCACTAAGCACCTGTTTAGGCAGGCTCAGGGACAGGGGTGTGATCCCCCGCACCATGCCAACCCAGTACCTGGGTATGCTAAGCCTATGTATCTTGGTGCAAGCCTACAGTCCCATCCATGGGAAGGCTGGAAACAGGAGGATCACTCTGAATCCGAGTTGCTTAGTGAGTCCCTATACCAAATGCATTTTTAGGGCTGGTGAGATGGCTCAGTGGTCTAAAGCACCTACTTAGAACAAGTTTAGCAAAGCACAGGGTCCGCGGTTCAATCCCCCAGCACCACATGCCAGCCAGCCCCGCCCCCTGGTGGGCTGAGCTGGCCACACACACACACACATAAATAAATAAAAATTTTTTTTAAAAATGCATTTTTAAAAAATTCATTTAACATGTGATGAAAATGTAAATACTTTTGAATATTGTAAAATGAATTAAATCTTGTACAGTTTATTATGAAACAACAAATTTTAACCATCCTCATAGGGGCCGGGGAGATGGCTCAATAGGATTAAGCGATTCTCTGGCAAGCGCAAGGGCCTGAGTTCAATTCCCACCAAAAAACAAAACAAAACAAAAAATCATCCTCCTGTATGAGTGTTGAAGGCACCTAAATTAGATAATAATATTATAGGCAGTGAGACAGAGCCACACCCTCAAGATCAATATGGAAGACGACTTGACTTTACAAGTTTGGACAGACAGACACTCCCTCTATATGATAGACCTCAAGACAAAAGAATAAACAAATGCAGCCACACACTTTCCTAAGGATGGGCATCAGGGATTAATATTCAAAATAAATATCAATCACCTTGAAAGAGCCAGAGTCACTAACCCAGCTGCCAACAGTAAGAGACCCTGTTCTGTTTACATGCCCCCTTGCTAACTGACTTGCTTCCCCGTTTGATTTCTTTAATCAATTTAGCTTGAGCAATGGTGCTTGTAATCTCATTGGTTGACCACAGTTTTGTCCCACCTCATGCCCACCTCAGCGAGTTGCCTTGATTTCCACCTTAGAACCCCCTCACCACGAGTTAGCTCTATAAAATCCCTGGAAAAGACCGATTCTCAGGGCAGCCCTCTGAAGTCCCCCTTCTGTCCCTGTCTTGAACAGAAGCTTTCTTTCCTCCAATAAATATTCTGCTCTTAACCTCCGTTTGTTCCTGAAGTTTATTCTTCGGTTTTAGAGAACACAAACTCTTCCAGGTTCCTTTCAGAATTCAAGTTTCATTCCCCTGTATCATTAGGTTTTAAAATTGTGTTCAATTTTTTTTCTAAACCAATAACGTGTAATGTGAAAAAAAGAATGAGATGCACAATACAAACATTAAAATCAAAATCAGTTTTTGTTAAAATCTACAGAATACACAATTATCAAACTCATTGTTGAATTTAATTCACTTTTCTTTTCTTTTCTTTTTTCTTTTTTTGTCTTTCTGAGACATGGTATCATTATGTAGTTCAGGATGGCCTTGAGCTCACTTTGTAGCCCAGACTGGTCTCAAATTCACAGCAATCCTCATCCCTCAGCTCTTGACTGCTGGAATCACAGGTGTGTACCACCATGGCTGGCATATATATATATATATATATATATAACACACATATATATATATATATATATATATATATATATATATATATATATATATGCCAAATAACTATATATATATATATATATATATATATATATAGTTACATTTGGAAAAAATGTAAATTAGGCTTGCTGATAATCATAAAGATTGAGAAACATGTCCATCGTTGGCTGTTGGGGACCACAAATTCATAATGGCTAACTTTCCTCAATTCCTAAAGGATAAATGGGATTCTTGGTAACACCCTTTTGAGACTTCTCACTAAGTCTTTAGGGATGCACCATCCTCTCCCACCCAGTAAGATTAAAAAGCACTCCAGGGCAAGATCCTACTGGTTTAAGATCATCTCAACTGTCCTGAGTCAGCCCAAGTTATGTGTTTGCCCACTGAGTCATTGAACTCTTAATTTTACCCGGACCTTCACTAACCCATCTATCATTCTACGCACCCAATAAAGAGGGCTTGCTGGGAGGGTCTTAGTACTCCCCGCCTACTTTCGTGTATTGTTTTTTTTTTGTTGAGCCGGGGATTGAACTCAGGTCCTTGCACTTGCCAGGGAAGTGCTTATTCTACTGAGCCATCTCCCCAGCCCCTCTATTTCATTCTTTCTTCGAAGCCCTCACACAGGTATTTGGGGATCTTGGTCAGGTCCTCAATAGTTGACGAGTTATCAGGGACAAATACAAATTACAAGCTGAGACAGCCAAGTAGCTGCCAGGGCAAAATTAATTTTCAAAAATTTTAATTTCTGAAACGAAACAGATCTTTGCCATACATAGTCAATCTCAGGAGGGATATGGCTGGCTCCGTTCAGCTGTTTCGGCTGCTTCTAGGTTTACTCAGAAATCATAGGATAGAGATGGGGAGGCTCGGAGTCCTGGCTCTCGGCCATTTATTTCAAGACTCTGTCCCTCGCTATTTAAAGCTCAGACAGCAGCTCCCGGGAGCCCGTGAGAAACACTCTCAGGGCCACCTCCCCAGAACGACGGGATCGGGGCGCGCGCTGACAAGATCGCTGGGTGCGACCCGGCTCGCGGAGAAGCCAGACGCCCTCGCACCGCCCGGTCGCCTCAGCCAAGGTCGCTGCGCTCGGGCATCGGCCCGCCCCGGGGACCGGAGCAGCAAACCCCTCGCGGAGGTGCCCCCGCCCCGGCTTCTCCCAACCCGTAACCGCGGGGACCCGCCTCGCGCAGCCAACTCCTGCACTCAAGAACTGTCGTGCGTGGGGGGGACTTGGCCGAGGCAGGACCCCGCCCGACTGGCCGGCCCGCACCTGCGCGACACCCGCCCTTTCTGGGCTGCGTCTAGAGGATGCTGAAGGCCAGGGAAGAAGTGCTGACGTCACTAATAGAACCGGGACGACTGATGACGCTACAAGCATTCCCTCTCCCGCGCGGAGAGCAACTCCAGACCTTGACTTTCTCTCAAGCCCAAATCACCGCAACTGTCGGCCAACAAAGGCGAGCTGCCTTCAACGAGAGCAGCCTGAGGCACAGTTATCGCGAGAAACTGTCTCCCACAGTGGCACTGACAAGCGCAGGCGCACTGAGCGCCCGCCCCCTAGCGATGGGAGCGCCCGCAGCAGAGGCGGGGCCAGGCCTGCCAACAAAACTCGCGAGACTTGAGCGCGTCAGAGGGACGTCCTCTCACGGGCCGGAAGTGTAGTCGGCGGAGCGGCTTAGGCGCTTGAAGCACCTCCGAGCTCGGGGCCGTATCGCGGCTTCTCGGCTCGCGCTTCGCTTCCCTGGGCCGTAGTAATGGGGGACTCCAAGGAGGCCGGAGCCGAGGCCGCGCCGGCGGCGACTGCTGCTCGAGGAGGGCTCAGCCTCCTGTCTCAGGGCGAGCTGGAGGAACCTTCTGCGCAGGTGAGCCCACCTCAGTGTCGAACGTGCCCGGGCTCCGGGCTCCGCGGGCTCGAGCTCTGGGCTCGGCGGGCACGCACCGCGCGGGAGGGTGTCACGGTTCCCGGAGCCTCTGGCACCTTCTCCCCCCCCCCCCCCCCCCGACACCTCCGAAACGGGGAAGCCCGTGTGTCTGTCCTGAGGTGCGCTGGCGTTTGCTCGCACGTCCTCGTGTCCAGAGCAAGCCTGGCTTCCCACTCGGGGTGACCTGCGGTGAATTAGACTCGGTATCTGCTTGACGTGTAATACGTGGGCGCATACATGGAGCATCTAGGTGTGTGCGCATACATGTAACACGTAGCTCCAAAATGTGGCACAGTTGTGTAAAGCCGGCGGCGCGGAAGGAGTGCCGAGGGGAGCCCACGGGGTTGGGGCCCGGCTAATTCCTCAAGGTGCGAGGTGTTTGCCAGGCCCAAAGGGACTGCGAGAAAGGAGGTTAGAACAGTTGACACGGAGCCTATGTGCAGGTGTGCGGTGAAGGCTGGCGAGTCCCCAGGGCCTTGCTGTCACGTTGAGAGGTTCGGAGTATGTGAGACTCCCTGGCGAAGCGATTGCTGAACCTTTGCGTAAAAACAAGAGAGACTCAGATATCTTACCCGAAACTACTTTGTGAAGTATTTATATACCTGTAATTAAAACATTTGTTTAGTACTTAGCCAGTTTTATTAAATTTTATTCAATTTTATGTTTAACTGACTTGACACTGGCGGGTCTTGGTTTCTTTCTCTTTTCTTTTTTTTTGTGGTTTGTTTTTTTAAGGACAGATCTACAGGGTGTCACTATGTAGATCGGACTCATAGTGATCCGCCTGTTCAGCTCCCAAGAGCTTGGATTACAGGTGTGCGCCACCACAACCAGTCTCAATCGCTGTTTCAGTGCGCCCCTGAGGCAGGGATGCACCGCATCGTTTTGTTTTCTGCTTCTACATGTAATATAAATAAATTTTAAAAGCAGATTAGTTGGCCTGTTTCTTCACTGCAACACATTATCATGCTCCTTCATGTTTAAAATCTTTTGAAAAAGGGCTAAATAAATTCAATAATCTGTGTTTGGTTTAAGTGTTACTAGTAATTTGTGAAGCCTAATGCGGGTTTTTTTTTTTTCTTTTTAATAAAGTTTAAGTTTTTATTCTTAGTAGTGTTCATTAAAGTTTCATTCAGTGTGTTGATTAGGGATCAGCTTTATTTCTTGGAGGCAATGAAGTAAAGAGCCGAGCTGTGGTGAAATACTCTTCCGCCCCTCCCTCAACAGCATTTGCACAACTAGAAGAGAAAACGGACTTGAAACTCCCACCTGCCAACTGGTTATGAGAAAGTGCCAAACTAGGGCCAGCAGGAACTACTGTTCTTGGGAATAGTAAGAAATGCAAGCCATTTGAAAGGTAAATATTATCAATGCTGTCTTTATCAGTGTACCCATTACACTTAAAACTCTTAATACTTGCTATAGTTTGTGATGTACACTCGCTTGCTAGATTTTTTAAATTTTTTTTTTTTTTTATTTTAGGAAATGGTCTACAGGGTGTTGAGGGTCTCACTACTAGATTGGACTCATAGAGATCCTCCTATTTACTGCCACCCAAGAGCTGGGATTACAGGTGCGCGACACCATGCTCAATCTCAATGGCAGTCTCAGTGCACCCCTGAGGCGGGGCCAGCATGACAGGCTAGGGATCAAACCCCCAGCCCCTGTGCCTGCTTTCAGGCACTTTAATCCGCTGAGCTATTTCGCTGGCCCTTATACTTGCTCTTTTTAAGAACATAGAAATGCTCCTAAAGATTCCTTACAGCAAGTCCCATGTAAGCATCGTGTAGGAAGGACCCGCTTACTAGATGAGCTAGATATTCAAGAACTCTTCATGAGATCCTCTCAGGTAATATATTTTGTGAAAAACATCTGGAAACTCATTGTCCTGACAACTTAATTAAGAGTGCTAGAGGGGCTGGTGAGATGGCTCACCTACTTAGAACAAACTAAGCCAAGCAAAGCACAGGGACCGCAGTTCAATCCCCCAGCACCACATGCCAGCCAGCCCTGCCCCCTGGTGGGCTGAGCTGGCCTCACACACACACAATAAATAAATAAATAAATAAATAAATAAATGCTAGAAATGTGCTTAGGTTTCACAAAAGGCCAAAGTGGAAATGCAGTGCTTGAATTACTCAGCTGTCAAGAAATGAAGTTTCACTGAAGATAAAAAGTTTTACTGTTAAAAGAATGGGGAAGAAAAAGGATAAAGCCAGCGAAGAAGATTGTGAAAAACCTTTGAAATTTAAGGACTACTTAAATTTTTTTCTTTAAATCCTTTAATGTCTGTTATAGATTCTTTTTTTCTTTTTCTTCTTTTTTGGCAGAACCGGGGATTGAATTCAGACCCTTGCGCTTGTTCTCTTGAAGCCTTGCTTTTCTTTCTTTCTTTCTTTCTTTTTTTTTTTTTTGGGGGAACCGGGGATTGAACTCAGATCCTTGCGTTTGCCAGTCAAGCGCTTATCCTACTGAGCCATCTCCCCAGCCCCGAAGCCTTGCTTTTCAGATTGTTGGTGGACACCTATTTTTCGTTCATGATTTCAGGATGGATGTTTTGTAAAATAAGAGTGGCAGTGTTTCATTTTCTTAAGGTTCACTCTCCATAGCTATACTTAACGTTTCATGGACTACAAAGTAGGTGATGGTTTTTCCAGCCCATTTGCTATCTTCAGAGAACATTTCCGAGGGCCAGGGAGACAGCTCAGTGGAATAAGTGCTTGCCTGGCAAGCACAAGGTCCTGAGTTTGATCCCTGGTACCGCAAAAAAAAAAAAAAGCTTCTGTGATGCTGTGATAAAAAATGCTTTAAATTGACATTTAAAATAAATGGTTTTCCCTTTCGGCCGGAACCGCCATCTTCCAGTAATTTGCCAAAATGACTAACACAAAAGGCAAGAGGAGGGGAACCCGGTATATGTTTTCCAGGCCTTTTAGAAAACATGGGGTTGTTCCTTTGGCTACATACATGCGAATCTACAAAAAGGGTGATATTGTAGAC